TCCTCCTCCTCCTCCTCCTCCTCCTCCTCCTCCTCCTCCTCCTCCTCTTCCTTTCCACAAACCCCTTTCCCTTCTACCACTGATGATGTTACCTAGTTTGGTAATGAGATGTCTGCAAGAAAACTACCAAGCTCAGAGAGCACTGAGGACTCCTCTGTTCTTGTTGACATGAACTCAAATATATTTTCTTAGATGAAGATCAGTACTGCAAGAGCCATGGTGGCACACTGCAGGATACTTCTGCTGACTGCCGACTGCCTGCAATTTGGCAGTTCAAATCTCACCAGGCTCAAGGTTGATTCAGCCTTCCATCCTTCCGAGGTCAGTAAAATGAGGACCCAGATTGTTCGGGGCAAGAGGCTGACTCTGTAAACTGCTTAGAGAAAGCTGTAAAGCTCTGTGAAGCGGTGTATAAGTCTCAGTGCTATTGTTACTGTGTGGAGAGCTCTTTTGACTAGCAATGTATTTAGGAACCCTGATTTTAAGATAGTACAGGTAGACCTCAACTTACAACAATTTTGTTTAGTGACCATTACAATGGCACTGAAAAAAGTGACTTATGACCGTTTTCACACTTACAACCATTGCAGCATTGCCATTGTCATGTGATGAAAATTCAGAACCTTGGCAACTGACTCATATTTATGACAAGTGCCATTTCCCAGGGTCGTGTGATCGTCTTTTATGACCTCCTGGCAATCCAAGTCCATGGAGAAACCACATTCACTTAACTACCATGTTACTCACTTAGCAACTGCAGTGATTCACTTAACAACTGGGTCAAGAAAGATTGTAAAATGGGGGGAGGATTCACTTAACTGCCTCGCTTAGCAACAAAATTTTAGGCTCAACTGCGGTCGAAAGTCAAGAACTACCTGGATATCATGATGACAGTAAATAAATGAATAAATAACTCCCACTCTCAACATATTACTTCCATCCCAATGTTCTGACTCAGGCTTAGTAGAACCAAGAAACAGGCTCCTTGTCCTGAAAAAAAAACCCTCTTTATTTAGCTACTGTGAATTCATGGCATTCACACATTGAAAAGAACTGGCAATAATCCTTCCAAAGGTTAATTCAAGAACAGACCTTATCAGTCCTTGGATAATTGCCAGGCTGAGAGCTTCCAGTCACAAAGCTGTAAATTCAATGCCTGGCAAGGAGTCTCTGTGAGGCACGAAGTCTGATAAGCAAATCTTCCAAAAGAAATATGAACTAATTGTCTCCTGCAACCACCACTCCCCTTTTGCTTCTATTTATTCCCCAGGGAGGGGCCATTCAGCATCCACTTGTTCCTTTCCTTCTGAGTTGGCTCCTGTTCCTTAGTTGTTCTCCTCTCCTGAAAGCTCTGCTCTGCACATACGTGTATCTGGAACAGGCTCCAGCTGTTCTTCTTCCCTACTGATCTCTGACTCCATAGGCAGCTGGGAAATGTCAGACAGCCCTGGCCCTATCTCTGCCTCTGACACAGAGCACTTGTCAGAGCCCTCCCCAGACTCCAGGTTCCTCCCCAACCTTCTCATCATCCAAGTCTGCCACCAACTCTGCTGGCAGCTGGCAGGCCACAACACCCAAATCTTATTGGTATAAAAGCCCAAACTTACTGTGGTAGGAATCACAGTGGTTGGATCTGGAATAACTCGGATGGTCAACTTTACGATGCCGTTTTGAACATGCACTGAAGTTCTCTCAGAACTTGATAACAGATTATCATCCGTTATGGAAACCAACAGCTGGTATTCCCAAACTTTGTCCACTCCTGACACATAATCGAATGGGTTGGTCAGGACTAACCTTGAGATATTGGAACCAGCCTTCGGTGAGAAATCAAAATGGTTGTTCACATTACCTGAAAGCAGAGCCAAAGACAAAATGAGGACAGATAAATGAAGACAACTGGTGGTTTAATTCACTGGACGATGATGAATGGTTGCAGGAACTGAGAACATCTAGTCCAGCGAAGAGAAGGACTTGGAGTGACATGATAGCCGTCTTCCAATATTTGAGGAGCTATGACAGAGAAGATGGAGACAACCTATTCTCCACAGCAGAGGTCTCCAACCTTGGCAACTTTAAGCCTGGAGGACTTCAACTCCCAGAATTCCCCAGCCAGCAAAGCTGGCTGGGGAATTCTGTGAGTTGAAGTCCTCCAGGCTTAAAGTAGCCAAGGTTGGAGACCCCTGCTCCACAGCACCTGAAGATAGGACAAGAAGTATTGGGTGGAAGGTCATTAAAGAGAGATCCAACCTAGAACTAAGGAGAAATTTCCTGACAATGGGAACAATTATTCAGAAGTTGTGGGTGCTCCATCATCGGAGGTTTTCAAGAAGAGCGTGGGCAGCCATTTGTCCAAAATAATATCAGGTGTCCTGCTTGGGCAGAGGGTTAGACTAGATCTCCAAGGTCCTTTCAACTCTATTCTGCATATTGTATATTTTTGAATTGAATGAATCCCCCAGTTGATAAGTATTGTAAGTATGTGAGAACAGTTCGTGGTCAATTAGAAGCGGAGAGAGTTTCTCTATCTTCCTGAATTTGATATAATCCCAAGCCAATCTTTTAACACAGCTGTTAAATGTTATTAAACTAACTTTTTAAACATCTACTTTATGTGAACCAGACCAAAGCAGCTCCATAGCAGTCCTGCCCAGAGACTTATGCAGTTCCAAAATCATCTGATTTATCATTTCCTGCAATTTGTAATGAGAAGCACACAAGAGTGGGGCTTAAATAAGCATAAAAATCCCACATCAGAAAAAGTTCTAATCTCAGCCACTTTTGCATCATCAGCTTGAGAAATGTAGCCTCTGCCCAAATTGTTAAACATTAAAAATTTTAAACGCCCTGGTTCAAAAAAAAACCAAAACCCTAAGGACTTCAGTATTTTTAAAAATACTATAAGTAAAGGTAAAGGTTCCCCTCGCACATATGTGCTACTTGTTTCTGGCTCTAGGGGGCGGTACTCATCTCCGTTTCAAAGCTGAAGAGCCAGCGCTGCCCGAAGACGTCTCCTTGGTCATGTGGCCGGCAGGACTAAACACCAAAGGCGCAGGGAACACCGTTCCCTTCCCACCAAAGGGGTCCCTATTTTTCTACTTGCCTTTTTTACGTGCTTTCGAACTGCTAGGTTGGCAGAAGCTGGGACAAGTAATAAGACCTCACTCCGTTACGCGGCGCTGAGGATTCGAACAGCTGAATTGCCGACCTTTCTGATCAACAAGCTCAACATCTTAGCCACTGAGCCACCGTGTCTCTCTCAAAAAAAAAAAAAATACTATGCATACAGATAAAAAAAGAGGAGGGATATATATGACAAGCGAATTTTGGCAGTTATGATGTAGGCTGCCCAGAATCACTTGAGATGGTTGAGTGTATAACTCAAATCAAATCAAATTAAGATGTATACCTGACAATGTGTCGTTGCAGCGCAGGTTAAAAAGGTGGTAGATTGGAGGTAGCAAACCATTTTTCAATGACACGTAAAGTAATTCTTGGCGTGAATGGACAGGATGAACAATATGACTCTTGAGCCAACTGGCAAAGTATAAGTTTGGATTGTAGTGACAGCTCCTGCATTGGAATAATTTCTTTTGGTTTTGATACAAATAAATAAATTTAGGGGGCACCTTGCCTTTATTATTTTTACAAATAACTCGGGTCAAAATGGTAGCTACTGGAGAGGAAAGTCTTCAAAGTAAAACAAGAAAGTCCAGTTGCCTCTTGAAAAAGCAACTTTGGATGGCATGTATTATATATTTTACCGGCAACTAATGACATAAGATATTCAAAGATGAAGTATAAAATACCTGACGTGATAGTGTATCGGAATGACTTCGGGCTCGAATCTCGGTCCACGCAGGTAATACTGAAACTATTAATAATGCCCAAGCTTAGATCCACTGGCACTTCCAGCAACTGTCCATTAGGGGTGCATATGGGTGGTTCATCATTTGCTTCAAGAACATTTATTATTACCTAAAGAAATATTTAAAGAAAGATTGGAAGGAACCATGATGACACAGTGGTTGAGTGGTGCAGTAGCCTAGAAGTGGAGGTCTCACTTCACAATCAGGAGGCTGTGAGATCGATCCTAGGTAGAGGCAGATATTTATCTCTCTGGACACGAGAATATATCTGCTGGATATAACTCCACACTGGGGACAGGAAGGGCATCCAGCCAATAATCACTCTCAGCTCCATTCAGTTGACCAGACTCCACTCCCGCAAGGGATTATAGGGTCATTAAAAGATTATGATGGTGGTGCAGTGGTTAGAATGTGGTATTGCAGGCAAACTCTGCACACTGTCAGGAATTTGATTCCCTCTGGCTCAGGGTTGACTCAGCCTTCCATCCTTATGAGGTTGGGAAAATGAGGGCCTAGATTGTTGGGGGCCATAGGCTGGCATTTGTAAACTGCTTAGAGAGGGTTGTGAAGCATTATGAAGCGGTATACAAAACTAAGTGCCATTGCTATTGCTAACAAAAAAAAATAAAAATCTGAAGAGTCTAGAATACCCGGTCCATGGACCAGCACCAGACCGTGGCATGCCAGAAACTAGGCCGCGCAAACAAGTGAAGCCCCATCCGTGGGATGCAAGCAGCATAAAAAACCAAACTCCCTTCGATCTGCAGAAAAACCTCTCTCTATGGAACCGTTCCCTGGTGCCCAAAAGATTGGGGGCCGCTGGTCTAGAAGAAAGTTCTCTAGTCTACAGGTTCAGGGCTGGCTTTTGTAGTAGATGCTCTGAGCAGCAGATACAAAGGAACAAGAAGTCACGGCAATCTGTTAGAGCAGTGGTTGCCAACCAGTGGGCCGGGGAGCACTGGTGGTCCACAAGAAAACTGTAGTGGTCCGCAGAGAAATGTCACCCCCAAAGCACTCCCCAAAGCAATTAATCCAGGCTGCGCGGAAACGCTTGCATCGCTTGCATTGTGAACAACACAAGGTAGTGAGGGGAGGGGGGAAAGGGTAAAAGGGGAGAACTTGCCCCACTCGTCCCACGCACCTGGCCTGGCCACCGGGCTGCTTCTTTCCGCTTCTTTCTTCTTCTGCTTTTGGCTGCAAGCAAGGAAAGCAGCAAAAGTCTTTCTTTCTCTCCCCCAAACTCCACCACAAATGAGTCTTTGGGACCCTGCAAGGCCTCCTGCTCCAAGAGGCTGCACCGGCGCGACAAGTCTCACAAAGACTCATTTCTGGTGGAGTTTGGGGGAGAGAAAGAAAGACTTCTGCTGCTTCTGCTGCTTTCCTTGCATGTAGCCAAAAGTCTATCTCTTTCTCGCTCTCTCCCCCTGAGAATAGAGCTGGAGACGGTATCCTGCAATCCCAAATAAAGAATGATCGATTGGTAGGAAAATGGGGTGGGGAATTTTCCTGCAGACTTTTTTGGGATTTTCCCAGGGTCTCTGGTCCGCGGGATTTAAAATTATGAGTTTGGTGGTACATTAGGTCCAAAAGGTTGGCGACCTCTGTGTTAGAGGACCAACAGCTTGGAGTAAAACATATTGTAATTTATCAGCTTATCCTTCACCTCAATGTCTTAACGTCTTTGATCTTGGGAGATCACATTCACTTCCATCCAGCTTTCCATACAACACATATATTCTAGTAATATATTCTCTTTTCAAAGTAACATTTTGTTATTTAAACATAAAAGAACATAAAAACTAACACAAATGAATTGTAGCAGAAGAGCAGGCAGAGCTTGGAGGTGGAGTTAAATGAGTTATCAGCCTAGACTTGTTATGTTGTCATAAATGGTTTGAATCCAACCCGTTTTGAATTCTGTTGACCCTTATCTGGTGCTAATTTATTATCGAACATTAATTGACTAGATTCTTGTGTATAGGCTGGAGCAAGAAATCTTCTTAACTGCAACTTAATGTATGATCCTGACTGTGGTGACGTAATAAATTCTAGGCTGATGACTTGTTTAACTCCACCCCCACCTCATCCTACCACTCCAGTTCAGACAAGGCCATGCACTGTTTGCTTCTACAAATGTCACTTCCGGCTACTCCTGCTTTGTTTACTATAAAGAGGCAAGAAAAGGAAATTGCAAGGAATGATAAGCTCTGTTTTAAGCTCTCTAGTTTACTCACGGAGGATGTTCCAATATTGCCTTTGTTGTCAGAAGCTTTCACTTCAAGAGTGTACACTCGATCCGCTTCGTAATCTAATCGTTTTGTGTTCCTCAAAATGCCCAGCTGAGGATCCATTACAAATAAGTCTGTGACACCCATGCCACTCTCTCCGGACACAATGGAGTAAGAAATTCCAGTGGGAGGCAAATCCTGGTCAGTAGCGAGCACTGTTCCGATAGAGGAGCCTGCTAAAATGAAATAGCAGCACGTTAAGATGACACACAGATGGTTTTGGAGTGTGTGTGGTGTGTTTAGAGATTCTGCAGGCTCCAGAAAGGATTCTAAAACAGAGCTTCAGGCCAGGGGTCAAAAAAGTCAAAATGGGAGCTACTGTGTGGTCAAATCCCCACCCATTTTTAACACAAATCTATCAACCAAGGGACATGGTGGCTCAGTGGTAAGACAGCTATACAGATAAAAGTAATATACGTTAATTTAAAGGGATTAAAACTATTCTATAAAGATGAGGGATGTGGTGGCTCAGTGGCTAAAACGCTGAGCTTGTCGATCAGAAAGGTTGGCAGTTTGGCAGTTCGAATTTTTAGCGCCGCCTAATGGCGTGAGCTCCCATTACTGGTCCCAGCTTCTGCCAACCTAGCAGTTCGAAAGCATGTAAAAAATGCAAGTAGAAAAATAAGGACCCCTTTGGTGGGAAGGGAACAGCGTTCCATGTGCCTTTGATGTTTAGTCATGCCAGTCATGTGACCACGGAGACGTCTTCGGACAGCACAGGCTCTTCTTCGGCTTTGAAACAGAGAGGAACATCGCCCCCTAGAGCCGGAAATGACTAGCACGTATGCGTGAGGGGAACCTTTATCATTACCTTATAAAGCAAGGGTATTCATGTGACTAAAGCCACATCTTTTATTTTACATCAGGGATGTCCAACCTTGGCAACTTGAAGACTTGTGGACTTCAACTCCCAGAATTCCACAGCCAGCTATGGGTATTCTGGGAAATGAAATCCACAAGTCTTAAAATGGTTGTGATTGGACACCCCTGCTATAAAGTATATTAAAAAGGGGATGTGGGTAAAGTCACATGGATATTACTGGTAGTGTCAGCGTTCCAGCAAACCTCCACTCCAACAAATAACTCCGAGGCAGACATCTTCTCAAAAGTTCCTTTTATTTTGGATAGTAACTGGCACAACTAGGGAATCCTGAATCTGAAAATTTCGGGCTTCCTTGCAATACGTAAAAACTATAAATCCATCCCCTGCACCTATCATCACATCACATGGCTCAATCACCATCCGTCCCAAGTTAAGACTTCCTCTCACTCATGCGCAAAATAACATGACCTTGAATTAGAAAAAGAATGTTATTATGTCTAACTACATACATTCCAAGAAATTCCCCCCTCCCACTTTCACAGGCTCAAAATTTGGCAGCGTGGAAGCATCTGGTCTCCATATGACTTCCAAAACTGACAGGTAGTCCTCAACTTGCAACAGTTCACTTAGTGGGCGTTCAAAGTTACAACAGCTCTGAAAGCAAATTCAAGTTTTCTTTACGAAGCTTGATTGGGAAACATGACTGTTTTGACACAACTGCTTTATAGCGATAGTAACCGAATTTTGTTTGTTTCCTTGATAGCCAGAAAGTTTCTTTTATTATTTTTTTAAAGTAGAGGAAATAGGAGTATTAGATTCTGAAAAAGGCTTAAACACTTCATTCCAGTGGTTTATTTGGTCTTAAAGACACATTCACCCCAATAAAACTGTCTGTGTGGCTGACACAGAGCAGGGAATAGAATCAGCATTAATTGGAGAGAATTCTATTTTATAGCCTTGTAAATTTCCAAAAAAGCCAAAGTAACTTACGTGGTTCTATTTCAGATACATTAAAAATGTACAAAGAGCTGTTGAAGACTGGATTAAACTCATTCTCCAGCTGAATGTTGATATAAATGTAGATTAATTCTGTAAATATAGCAAGTAAGAAAAACATGAAAGATGACACAGAAATATACCCTCAGAAAACAACAACTGAATGGAAAACTGCTGGTGACCTTCTACCGCTGCACCATAGAGAGTATCTTAACTTGTTGCACCTCTGTAATGTTTGTCAATTGCACAGGGGCAGATAGGACAACTGGGTTAACATCATTGCCCAGAGGATCATTGGTTGCCCTCTCCCTCCTTGGAAGAGCTTTATAGCTCCCGCTGCCTTAAGGAAATTCAAAACATTCTTATTAAAGATCCATCTCATCCTGGGCACCCTTTTTTTTTTTTTTTTGAATTATTACCATCTGGCAGACGGTATAGGATAATAAAAACAAGGACAAATAGGCTGAAAAACAGCTTCTATCCCAGGGCAATTACTCTATTGAATTCTACTGTATGGTGCCATATTAATGCAATATCAGGGGTTTTCAATTCAATGTATAGAATGGAAAGGAGGTGTGTTTGTGTTTTATTTTTATAGTTATAATGTACACTGAAGACGGCATTTAATTTCATTGTATGACAATATAAATAAAGTAAATGACAATAAAGTAAAGTAAAGTAAATTTAAAGATCATTTTTCCCCAGAAAGAGTCAGGGAAAAAGAGGACAAAGAAGAAAAGTTAATACTAACCAGAGAAGAAAGGCTCAGAAATATCCTGGATGACGGTATTCAGAATATATTGTCTCTGCATGCTTCCATCTGTTGTGTTTTCCAAATCTACATTTCCTAAAAGCTGAAAGGAACATACTTTTACAGGTAATCCTCGAATTATGACCACAATTGAGCCCAACATGTCTGTTGCTAAGTGAGACAGGCATTAAATGAATTTCGCCCCATTTTACAACCTTTCTTACCACAGTTGTTCAGTGAATCATTGTGGTGCTTAAGTGAGTAACCCGGTTGTTAAGTGAATCCGGCTTCCCCACTGACTTTGCTTGCCAGAAGGTCGCAAAAGGGGATCACGTGAGCCCAGGACACTGCGACCGTCATAAATATGAGCTGGTTGCTAAAGTGTCCAAATGTTGCTATAAAGCAGTTGTCAAAACAGTAATGTTTTCCAGACGAGCTTCGTAAAGAAAACTTGAATTTGCTTTCAGAGCTGTTGTAACTTTGAACAGCCACTAAATGAACTGTTGCAAGTTGAGGACTACCTGTCAGCTTTGGAAGTCATATTGAGATCAGATGCTCCCACGCTGCCACATTTTGAGCCTGGGAAAGTGGGAGGGAGGAATTTCTTGGAGTGTATGTAGTTAGACATAATAACATTCTTTTTTTTCATTCAAGGTCGACTAGCCACTAGCAATTCTATGGTGGTCCTGAAATGTGCCCAGTATCTCAAAGAATTTTTATAAGGTTAATGCACAGTGAAATCAGTTTTGGCTTCATTCTAAATAAATATGTTATTTTTGCTTCTTACTATAATACATTCCTTAGACTTAAAATTCTGATTTGAAGGATATTTTAGATAACACTCTTGTTGATATAGATAAGACACATGTCACCACATTAAATTTTGACCGGTTTTAATGCTTCTTTAATGAGAAACATTTCCCTCACTGCTCTTCTGATTATATTTGAATAGGCACTCCAATTGTCCAACTTTAAACAATATAAAACAGTTAATTAGCAGACCTTAATCATTCCAGAGTGAGGATCCAGGGTAAATTTATTACTTCCAACTCCAGATAGTCCAGTGAAGTTAAACAAATTGTGTGGGGATTCAACATCTTCATCTTTGCAATAATTCTTTAAAGTGATAATTTCAAATCCAGGGGATGCCCTTTCAGGAATTGGCACCCTATTTAAGAAAAACAAATTAGCTATATATTTCGGATTTTCTGGTTCTTTGCCTAGCTTTCCTTAAATGTCTGAATGAGCATCTTGTGTGTTAGAAATTTTGAGGAGCAGTGCCATGAAGGTTTAAAAGATTGTTAAAACGTGGGCATGAAGCCAGGTTTCCCAGCTTGGAGAACTTCAATGCCTGCGGACTTCAACTCCCAGAATTCCCAGCCGGCATGGCTGGCTGGGGAATTCTGGGAATTGAAGTCCACGTGTCTTAAAGAAACCCTGAGGCAAAGCATCAAACATAATTTCCTTCTTGTCCTTCAGTAAAATAGGTGGAGCAACTATGAATAGCCTAGCCTAGCCTAGCCTAGCCTAGCCTAGCCTAGCCTAGCCTAGCCTAGCCTAGCCTAGCATAGCATAGCATAGCATAGAATATATGGAATGCAATAGAATAGAATTGGAATAGAATAGAATAGAATAGAATAGAATAGAATAGAATAGAATAGAATTAGATTAGAGTTAGAATGTAATGGAATGGAATGGAAAGGAAGGGAATAGGGAAGGGAAGGGAAGGGAAGGGAAGGGAATAGGGAAGAGAAGAGAAGAGAAGAGAAGAGAAGAGGAGAGGAGAGGAGAGGAGAGGAGAGGAGAGGAGAGGAGAGGAGAGGAGAGGAGAAGAGAAGAGAAGAGAAGAGAAGAGAAGAGAAGAGAAGAGAAGAGAAGAGAAGAGAAGAGACCCTAGAAGAGACCTTGGAGGTCTTCTAGTCTAACCTCCTGTTTGGGCAGGAACTCACGGAGGCCTCCTATGTACTGCACCATACCCTGCAACTATGCTATCAGACCTGATGCGACAGACCGTCATAATTAGCATCAAAGAATGGCCTTCTTTAAATTGTTTGAGCTATTGGTAATGTTAATTACTATCTGATACGCTCTTTGATACACTGAGCGCTACGCTAAAAAGTTTAAAGTCTTCATCATTATTAGCATTGCCTGAAGCTTAAGAGAGCGCAAAATATTGTGAGGTTCCTTGGTGCTCTCTGAGTTTGGTAGTTTTCTTGCAGACGTTTCATGATCCAGCTAGGAAATAGCATAAGTGCTAGAAGGGAGTGGGGTTTGCCTTCATTTGAGCACCCCACTCCCTTCTAGCACTGATGATGTTACTGAGTTGGGTCATGAAACGTCTGCAAGAAAACAAGCCAGCTCAGAGAGCACCAAGGACCCCACACTTCAAAACCCTGAGCTACAAATACTATCTTCTATCAGTAGTATAAAATATCATCACCTGTGATTGTATTCTGTGCATTTGGGTGGAAGGTCATTGATATCTTCAATAAATACAAAAATTACAATTTCATCAATTGGTCTATGAGGAGGGTTATCAACACGAATGGTCAAAGAAATATTAGGATGGGTTCTGATGGGGGAAGCATCACGATTTAGCCGACCGGCCACCATGACCGTACCTGTCACTAAAACAGAAATAGGTTGTAAGAGTTTCCACAGGCATAGCTTTTGATTACGACAGAAACTGTTTTTATTTATTTGTATTTCCTTTTTATTATTTTTACAAATAACTCAAGGCGACAAATATGCCCAACACACCTTCCTCCTCCTATTTTCCCCACAAAAACAACTCCTTTGACATGGATTGGGCTGAAAAGGAACTGGCCCAAAGTCACCCAGCTGGCTTTCATGCCTAAGGAGGGACTACAACTCACCGATTCCTGGTGATTGGCCCAAAGTCACCCAGCTGGCTTTCATGCCTAAGGAGGGACTAGAACTCATCATCTCCTGGTGATTGGCCCAAAGT